CGATTTGCTGACAGGGGAGGAATTTGCATCCTGGATTAAAAAAAAAAAAAGACCGAGAGGAGCTTGGGAACGGTTGCTAGGGGTGGGTAAAGGGTGAAAAAAGGGGGGCGCCGGGGAGCAGATAAGGAGGGTTAAGGGAGGGGCGAGGATGGGGAGCAATGCAAAAGGTAAGGCCAGGTTACCGCGGCTCGGCCCCGAGTGGGCTGCGGCCGGGGGAGGGGCGAGAGATACATATGTATTTCTGTCTTCTTAGCACACCCCCTTCCCTAAGCGATGGCTGAGAGGCGGTGCATGCAGACGGGGAGTAAGTTTCCTGAAGGGGAGGGTGGATGCACGCGCGCGGCCCCGCGCTGCAAATTTCCACCGGGGAGGGAGAGTGGCTGGATGCGGAGAGTTTGGAGTTGCTTGCGGCGGAGGGCACGAAGGGGAGCAGGGCCGGGAAGGGGGTTGGCGGGCGCTATCTCTGGGAGTAAGTTTCCAGGATCAGGAGAGCCTGCACGCTTGCTCGCCAGTAAGTTTCTGGCCGGGGAGGGCGAGTGGGGAGGAGGAGAGGGAGGGGTGCATGTATATAGAAGGGGGGAGGGGGGAGCAGATTTCCTGCGGGGAGGCTGAATGCATATGGAGAGTAGATTTCCTGAAGGGAGGGTGGAGGCATAGACGGACCGAGTAAGTTTCTTGCTCGGGTGGTGGCGGAGGTGGTGGGTTGGTGCTTTGGTAACGCTGAGCTTCCTACCGGGGTTGGGGAGCACGCTGTTGGGTGGGGGTGGGGGATGCAGGGCCGGGTTCCCTGCTGGGTAGAGGGGCTTGCATCTGGGGAGTATGTTTCCTGGCGGAGCGATATTTGTTTACTGGCTGAGGGCAGTACTGTAAGTGAGTAGCGCTTCGAGGAGGCGGCTCTGACATAAATTAATATTGAAATTACTCCATCAGCGCTGCTTCTCCCCCATCTCACCCCCCCAAGCGGAGACTGGTCTTCTTGTCGGATTGCCCATGCACTTGTTGCAGAAACAGCCAAGGTAGGCAAGAAGCTTATTAAGTTTCATTTTTTTAAAAAAATTACTTGGGGGGGATGCTCAGTGAGAAGATGGGGGAGGGGAAGGGAAAGTCTCCCCCCCACTTCTTTACTTTCAGTATGTTAACCGGGCCTTCTCTCTGCTTCCCTTCTTCCCTCTTCCCTCTCGGTGCTGCACGGCATCCCAGCAAAGGGGGAGGGGTGCGAGGGGCGCTAAAATTGGCAGATCAGGCTTAAAGGGTGGTGGTGGGGCTTGCACTTGAAGGGTGTGATGCTATAAAGCCTTCATTCTTCCAGCCAAGAAACCGCAGGACCCTAGGGATGTGCCTTTGGGGGTTTTGGACATGATGCATATACATGCGCCTGTGGGCTCTTCGGGGGCCCGAGTACCCACCAGAAGTTAAAAGTGGCCACCCGGACGAGGGAAATGTGTCGGGGGGTAAACCTGTCCCTCCAGTCGTAACTTCAGTTTGGGAGTTGTTGCTGGTGATCTAAATAAATAGATATTAGAACACCACCCATTCACTGGCGGAGGCCGAGAGCACCTGGCCCGTGGCCGCCGGTCAGCCCTGGGCTGGGGCATGTGCGCCGGCCGTCCCTACGTGAAAAGAAAATGACATTCCGGCTCCTCCGTGGGCTTGGGCTGGCCTGCGAGAGCCAGCTTTGTGGAAACTTCCCAGACCCGGCGGCTCTGGCAAGTGAAAGTACGTGTTGAAGCCGGTTGCTAACAGCGTGGCCTGGGCTGTCTTGGGAAGTGCATGGGAGTGATGCTTAGGAATGAGGGATCCAGGGATGGCTGAGGAGTTCTTTAAAAAATGCCTCCCGGGCCGGCTGGGTGCGCTTTTTAGCAGGCCTGGGAGCAGAGCGTTAAGAAAGGAGTTTTCGGTTGTCCCAGTTGGTACCAACCTTCGGCATCATTAACCGTTTCAAGAAAGCAGTTTGGCGACTGTCGATGGGGTTTGGTGCCCACTGGGAGGATAACCAGCAGAAGTACTCAGCGGTTTACCAGTTAACCAGCAGCCTCTGGTCCTCCCGGCCTGTTTTCCTGGTACTCAGCCTGCTGGTTTCTGCAGATGGGTGGTTGTAGGTCTTGGCTGTCAGGTGCCTGGATTATGCCGGGAGTTTTAACTTTGCCAGGATAATTTTAGCACCAGAGGTTCAAACCCAGGCATGCTTAGTAGGGTCAGGGAGTACACACTAGGCAGTGGTTAACTAAAGTTGGTTAAGCTTTCTGCAGTTCTGTAGCCGGGCTCAATTCTAGCAGGGGAAATAATGGGTTTAAAAAATATTTCTCTGCGTGTTACGGATGGACAGTGCTTTCTTTCCTTCCTGTTATCAGATTTCCAGATTGAGAATTGGTTATTTGGCAGCTTGAGAGCTGAGTTAGTTGGGAAATAAATATTGCCATTTATCAAATGTTCCTAACTAGGCATTTGTTAAACAAATTAGCTATTAATTTTCACCGGCTGAAAGTCTGCGTCTGGTGGTGTCTATTGCTGGGAAGGTAAACACAATCTTTATGTGTGTTTATCCCAGGATAGTGGAATTATTGACATGGCTACCCTCGAAGCCAAGAGCAGTCATTCAGGTTTTTTTTTTTTTATTCTTATAGTTATGAGATTTATTTTATTGTCTTGCTTTGGCCATTAATCAAGTCACAGTAGCTTTTTTTCCCTCTTCTGCTGGGAATGTTCTTGTGGTAATAAAGGTTTGAAGGCCCATGAATCATAATTCATTCTTTTAAAAATATTGTGGTGATTGTCAGGATTTGATTTATAGGAATTGATACAGGGAGTGACACAGCTCTTTGGGCCCCGCCCTTTTAGGCATGTCCGTTTTTGCCAAAGATTTGTTGAGAAGCCAGCTTGACATCTGAAAAAAAGAGCGTTTCCTCTGCTTTATGGGCATCGAGAAGATTAATTTTACAGGTTCCATAGTCAACACGAGTCTTTTCACAGCTTGGTAAGCCGGCTTCCACATAGCAGGCGTGTGTTAATATCACATAGCATTTATGTGCGCTTGCTGTGAAAACAGTTGTTCCATGAACTGTGTGAAAAGTGCTCCGTTTGGCTTCCTTTAACCTGCTTGGGCCTGTGGTTTTTGTTGAGGTAGGAGCATTAATGATCAGGGAGGGGACTGCTGCTTATATAATAAAGTGTGTGATCACAAAAGCCAAGCTTATGTATCATATTCTTTTTCCTAGCCTTTGATGGTTGGGTTGGTCGTAATAATCAAAGGCATTGTTTTCTTGGGAAAAGTATAAGGATTCTCCATAAAGTTGATTAATCAGAGAGTATTGACGTTGTTTTGCATTCAGTGGTTGCCTCGAGTTTACAGTATTTGAAAAGTGACCAAGAACTTTTAAGGTGGTTTGCTCACAGCAGGGGGGAAATGTCCAGTGTCTAGCATTTCTGGACTTCAGATTTTTTTTTTTTTTTAATTAGGAGCGCACGGTTTGATCCATGAGTTACATCTGTGTCTGAAATTCTGTCATTCGGTCTTGAGGAGAGAGCTCTCCAGAGAAGTCTCTGGAGGTCTTGACAGTGTCTTCCTGGGCCAACGGCCAAATTGCTTCATGGACTTGTGCTGGGTTGATTAACTTCCGTTTTTGTCTTCTCATGGAGAGAGTGGAGTTGTACCTTGGCATTCCAAAAAAGACTCTTGAGTGCCCTGGTTATCTTGACCATCCACGCAAGGAAAAACTGAGGAAAGCCTGCCACCGACCGTCTTGGGGAAAAAAAGGGCATGGCTGATACGCAATTATATGTGTTAATAGAGAGTGGCACCAAAAATAACTTCAGTTCATCTTGGAAGTTTCCCCTGCAACCAGCTGGCTCACCTGTCTAATTATGCTTGGTCAAACCTAAGGTTAATTGAGCAGACCAGAAAGCCTAGTTGTGGCTTCACCCACTGTCTGTGGAAAATTCACACGCGGGTAATTGGAATTTGGTGGTATATTTGCCGTAGGGTTCATGGTAATGATATTGTATTAATGTCGCTTCTGGGATTTCTCATATTTCACTGTGGGCATTTTTGGGGGGAAAGCTCTTGATGTTTTCATTGACTTTGAACATTCACGTGTATAGTAAGGATCCAGACAAGTGACCCAGACCCCGGGCAGTACAAATTTGTGCCGATCGCTCTGCTCTAAAAGCCGTCGAATTCAGCTCATTTTATTTCTGCCCTCATAAAACTGTGATTTAGGGAGGAGAGAGGGTTAGGATCAGCTAGGATCTTGTGGATTAGTAATATTTCTGAATTTGCATGTTTAAGGGGAACCAATAAAATAAAGAGGCTATTACACAGTTGCTTTCTTTTGTGGGGAGAGGGAGACAAGAGCAGCTGGATCTGTTCTCGGCATGCTTTCCAGCGAGGCCGCTGTGGCGTTTTAAGGAATAATACAGGCCTGAGAACATGAGTTTGATGCCATGGCTCTCTTCATCTGTTTTTATGTTTTCTGGGTTAAATAAAATACACAACAAAAAGACTCTGTGGTATTTTATAAGGATTTTCAAGTTCTCTGGGTAGCTGCTTGTAGGGCCTACGGGTTAATTAGGGTTTACTGAGGGAATGGATGATTTTTGCTTTTTCCTCATGGAAGACAAGCGGAGAATGGGTGGGGCATGCTGAGCTATTGGGCTTTTGGTTTAGCAATATTAAAACGTTTTTGTTTAACCGGTGTGCCTAAGTGGCAGCGATAAGTCTATTCTCATAGATGGTAACAGCTATTTTCATGTCATGGCTGACTGGTTTATTCATCTGTACATTCGGCAGTTACTTACTGAGCACCCATTCTGTGCTAGGCCCTAAGTTTAGACGCTGGGAATATGTTGATAATTCAGAACAACATAATCATCTCCCTCTGCCCATCCCCCACCCCTCTCCCTAGTTTACAGTCCAGAGGGGAGGTTGACATGTAAAGGAATAGGTATTGCAAAATGTGATAAATGCTCTGGTGAAATCCCAGGGAACGGTGACCTGGACTTACTCAGCTAGAGCAGCCTAGGAGAGCCTCTCTGGGGATTAGGGTGCGAGAAACAGAGGGCACCAGACAGCCTGGGCGGGAGGCCTTTGGCTTTGGCCATTGAAGAGAGGCGTGGGTGGATAATGGGAGGGAGAGAGGGCACAAGACATGATGGACCAGGCAGGGCTCTGGGGGCCTTGAAAGGTTTGGGTTTCATCCGAAGTGCAGTGGGAAGCCATTACAGTGAGAAGTGACACCCCTACCCAATGTATTGGTGGAGAGGGGCAGGTGTGGAATTGGGGAGCACAGTACTGTGGCAGTTGGAGCAGGTCAGCGGGGAGGTGACAGAGGTAAACGGAGGGGAGCAGGTGGGTGCCAGACGCACATTGAAGGTAGAATGGGCAGGGCTTGGGGATGGATTTGGGGGGGGTTGGGGAGGAGGAATCTAGGATAACAGGTTTCTGACTTGAGCAGTTGGGTAGATGGGTGGTGCTATTTGCTGAGATGGGGAAGAGGGAGAGGGAGGGGAGCAGAATCACGCTCCCTGGAATCTGAGATGCCTGTTGGACTCAGTGAGATGTTAAGCAAGCGGTCTGATACGAGCATCCAGTGTCAGAGGACTGGCCAGGCAAGAGATGAAAATGTGGGAGTCGTCAGCCAGGGGGTGGTATTTTAATGCAGGAGACTGGCGGCCGTGTCCTAAGGAGCCTGGAGGGAAGATAAGGCCGGAAAAGTCACCAATGGATTTGGCAAAATGGAAGCCATTGGCAACTTTGCGAACAGTCTCAGTGGAGCGATGGATTGGGCAGAAGCAAGGTTGGAGGGGTTGGCCGGGGACTGGGAGGCGAGGAACTGGTAGTGGCATGTGTAGACAACTTTTGGGCACAGCTGGACCCAGAAAGGGGGCCAGAGGAATGGAGTGGGAGTTGGAAGGACATGGGGTAGAGGGACGGGGTTTTTTGAGGCCCTGGTGGTATATATGCGAAACTGGAGAGGAGATGGTTGGTCAAGAGCAATGGGTTGGGTCACCTGAGCAAAAA